AAAGGTTTGTAGACTGTGTCTCCCCGCTCCCTGCGTCTCCCTGCTCCTACAGTTCAAGACTATCCATGGATGAAGCAATATACTTGGCAAAGCCCCCCAAGTATGACCCAACATCAGTCTTTCTGTCTAAGCAGTATAATTTTCAAAAAACAACGATACACCAAACACTGCTGATTGGTTCATCGACTGTTCTCCAAAGCGGTAACAGACGGCCTGGATGAGAATGGAACGGTGTGTGCTCAGGAAACCGTCACTGTCTACGCACTGTGGTCGACCCCAAACTGCTCATCTGTGCCTTGTAGGCATTTTTGTCTTTCACAGTCTCCAGATGACACTCCAACAGGAAGACAGACGTGAGCAGGTGCACCTATTAAATATGTAAAATACACATCTTTTCTTCCACTCGCTTAGAAGATGTATTTCTAAGGGCTGTAGAAAGTCACCTAATATAAAGACAGACAGGTAGGGAAAAAAAAAATCTTACTTTTTTTTTTTTTTTTTTAGCACACAAGAATGCAAGTGGGCTCGGCACATCAGCTCCCCACAGAAAATAAATACAAGCAATTAAAAATTCAGTTTCTTTTCTTTAAGCTAATTCTTCAGGTTTTGCTAATTAGCAACTAATAGTTCTGTCATCTGAGCTGGGAAACATACGGAAGAATACCAGTGGTATGTTTTCAATCAAAGCATTTGCATGAAGGAATGAATCACATTTTCCATGAGGGATTACTACTGCGTGGGAGCAGCTGGGCGCAGAAGAAAAGCATCTTCGCGACCCTAAAACTGTAAAAAGAGACCTGAAATTTTAGAAAAGGGGACGTCCTTCTGCTCCTCGTCACAGAACCAGCAGGGGCCCTATGTGGCAGGACTCATGAATCTGAGACGCTCCCCACAAAACCTCCTGCAGGGACAGTCAGAAAGGGAGACTCCTCGCAGGAAGGCAGAAGACAATGAAACAGATGTTTTCCGTAACAGAGAAGAGAATAAAAGTTAAGCGTCGGCTAGGGTACAGGAATGCTTTAACTATTATGTCACCTGCCTGTGCAAGTTCCTAAGAGAATACACGCCTGGCAGTGAGTGAACTCGGGGGTGATGGAAGTTTGAAGTATACCTGGCTACCCACAGAGCAGGGGCAGCTTAAGACTGCTGAGAAATCTTCAGGCGGGAGAAGGGGGTCCTCATCCTGAGTCCGATACAAGAAACTCAGGTCTCTGAAACCCAGCGCCCCCCACACTCTTCCCAGTCACAAAGCGCTGGTGATCCTACAGCCACCCGCCTGTCAGCATCACCCCACATCCGAACCGTGCGGCTTAACCCCCTACTTTCTTGCCTTGATATACAAGCCCTCCACAGCGACCCTTCAGGAGAGAATACCCTCCAGTGCCCCCTGTGAGGATTTTATTCCAAACATATGTTGTGAATGTTTGAAGTGCCCGCTATCCCTGGTATTTCTTTTTCCCTTTCTTTTTTTTTTTTTTTAAGTCAAACCCACAAAACCTAAAATACTTTGAATCCAGCCTAAGTGCCATTTGTGAAGACACAATACTGTATACCCAAGGATAATCAAGTCTTGTGCAATAAAAATTGTACAGATGTCCTTCTGAGGGTAAAGAAACGATTTTCCCTTTTCCGATCTTACAGGAAGCCTGCCCACACGTTAGAAATACAAAGTCAGTATATATAGAAGCACAAATTAGGCATCTTGGAAAGTCCACATTTTCCAACCACAGAGAAATGAAGGAATTCCTGGGAGTGTTCCCATGCCCAGCTACACTGGATTGGAGGAGTCTTTTTTCTCCAGAAACCTGGTGGAGTTGGCACACGATTCACAGGAAAAGGGAACAGCCTACAGAGATGTTTCTGAACCTTGAGCCACTGAAGGTCTGCAGCAAAGTTGTGTTTTGAGAGTTTCGCTGCAGGACTGACAAGAACGTGATCGAACTTGCATGCCTTGTTTTAAAAAGACCGCACTTTTCTCATACACTAAAAATTTCTGGAGGACCTATCAACTTCAGCATTGTGTTGGTCATTCATTAGCTTTCCCTGGATAATTAAATCCAGAGAAGGTAGACAGATTTTATTATAAAGTACCAAAAAAATACTCATTATACTGGTAGAAGACTAAAATATCCAATAGGGTTCTAGAAAAAGTAGAGTTACAACCTACCTAACTCCTTGAGGCTTGGTTTAGGATATCTTTAAAGTATTTCATATGGATAATTCTGTAGCTTTCATTTTTCCACATATATTAAGTTTGTATTTGTTACATACATACAAATACATACACGTATTTAAAAGTTTAAAACTTCCCAAAGTCATTTAAAAGCTTTAATATTTCTTCACTTACAAAATAGAAAAAAAATATAGCCAATTCACTAAGGTTCAGGGAGAAAGGTTATGTTCAGAAGACCACCATACGCAGTGCTGACTACACCAGCCCTCTTCCTAAGGTTTACAGTCCACTCGATCTCTGATCTGTTTACAGAAGACACAGATCTCAGGGAGGCAGAGAAATACACAGGACTGCAGCACTAACAAAAACAGCTCGGTTGTTTTGGAGGAGGTGGTGTTGGTGGTGATGGTGCAATGAGAGGGGTCGCGATGACGAGGATGGTGGTGATGATGGAAAGGAAGGAACAGGAGGATGTGGAGGCATAGGAAAACAGGTGCCATAATGATCTGAAGCACTCACCATGAGCCAGAGATTTTACGAAATACCGTATTTGCATCGTCTCACTTAATTCTCAGGAAAACACCACGGGAGAGCAGTCACATTATAACACCAAATAAATGGTTAGGAAATGATCCTTAGAGGGGTCAGCACACTTGGCCACACCGCACAGTCACTACATGGCAAAGCTGGAGCTGGAGCCCCATCCCCTAAACAGTAATCCAATCTGTGTGATCTCTAGAACTCCCCACCCATGTTGTACATGTAAGGATCTCATTTACTTATTTATTTATTTATGACCAATTCAGGGAGTACATTGGGACGGTGGGTCAAAATGGCATCTGCCAGTTGGTTATAGGCAAGCGTCCATACTTTGTCAGTCATCATGCAGTTTTAACAGTGCCTTGAACAATACAGCAGGGAAAGTTAAGGAGCATCCAACGTACTGGTCTATGTCCTCTAAATACAACAGTTCCAAGCCCCACTAAGAGCTCTGCAGCGCCCTGAGCTAGTTAATGTCGAGGCCCAAGGGATGGGTCACAAACGCACGCTGCCAAGAGGTGCCAAGGATCCCAGGCGTGCAGAGAGCCTATCCCTCAAATGCAGGGGAGAAGAGTCAATGGGCAAACCAAGAACAAGTTGCAGGTTGAATGGCACAGAGACAAAGTTAACGATCATCTGCCTACTTCCATCAACCAGAAAAGAAGTATTCGTCAGCTGTCCTGCCCAATTACATACCTTAATTATTAGTGGGCATCTGGAACAGAAAGCAAAACATAAGTATGAGATGGGAAAAGTTTGTGTTCACACATAAGGATGAAAACAAGGCAGGGAACTTGTGGTAAATAAACTAGACCAATTCTTTTTAAAAAGTAAATATACTCAGGGAGTCTTAAAGTAGGGAGGAAGTTCGCAGATTCCCTCACATCTTCTCCACAGAGCTCTCTAATAGAGACCCGCAAATAAAAATACAAGAATGTGCTCAGAGAAACATCCTGCCAACGCTATTGTAAACTCTCACTCCTAAAAGAAAATGAAATAAACCTTAACAAAGACAGAAAAAGAAGTGAGCACCTACCTCCTTCCCATTTCTGGATCTGTAGAAACAACTGTAGCAACAGGGCTGAGAAACACTTTTTAATCAGAGAAGCTGTAGCCTTTTTTAAAAGCCTAGAAGAATCCATAAAACCTTTTCCTCCATGCTTCTGACCACTTAAAAAAATAATGTACCTTCCATTTCTACCAACAATGTAATCTGGTTGGGGAGAAAGCAGTTGCTGAGACGTAAGGCTGCTCCAGGCTCTTTGATCTGCACCCTGATGAGGGAACATTCCCCTCTGCTACAAGTCAGCTAACGAAGGGATGAAATTAGCTTTTATCCTGGGCACTTTCTTGAGGGGCGGAAAAAAAAAAAAAAGGCACTAATCAGCTGTCCTCGCTAATCAGTCATCTGGCTAATGACCTTTTGCCTTAAAACACTAAAATTTCTGAATGATGTGGAAAAAGGGAAACACAAACCAGTCCCCCTCTCTGGAGCTCAATGGATCATCTGGAATTGGAGCTGGGAAGGTTAAATGGCAAGTCTGTATCCTGGCAAGGTGATAAATCTGTAATCAAGAGCTGCAGCTTTGGCACCTCAATGTGAACTTCATTACTTCCACAACCAAATTATATATTTTTTTTAACTAGAAACAGGCCACAAATAAAGTCAACCGTTATACATTTTTCTTTGGAGAAAGCCATCATATATTTGTATCCTGAGTCCTCGTGAATTACTTAAACTTTATTAGGTGCTGGAAAAGGAGCTTCCCATGTTTCTGGTCTACCGGTTAGAGAAGAAAGTAAAACATGTAGAAAATTCTTCCACATTTAAGGAATTTAGCACTGATTTGCTCTAAAGGAGTTTGTTCATTCCCAGCAAGTAAGCAAAAAAAAATCATTCAAAATGGGGATAGATGTTGTTCAGGAATTCTGCCAGTGCAGCCCACTTTAATAACTACCCCCATCAACCAATTTTGCTCCTGCAGTGTCTACCTGGGTGGAAGAAATCTGGTTCTCGTTCCCAGCAAAGGTCCATGTGGATTAGCCACAGATAGACACCTTCCTGAAGGCTGCCCCACGGAGGCTTGGACTGGCTTAGAGACATAAGAAAAATGGCTCTCTCTAAAAAGAGGAAAGGATGAGATGTAGGAGAAGAAAACAAAACAAAACAAAACTGGAGAGTAAATTAAACACTGGTATAAATTAATACCAGCCCGATAATTCATACAACGCGCCGGCAGCCCTCCGCGGCTCCCGGAACCAGGGTGATGGGGCAGGAACCACTTACGGTAGTGAGGCTCCATGTAACCGTTCCGGGGGTCCATGGCAAACACAGCCCCGCGGTATGGCACAGAGGGCTCGGCCAGGTGCGGCAGGGACCCATGGATCTCCTTCTTGATCAGCGAGGCCCTCTCCTCACTGGATGTCGAAGGCTCCTCGCTGATCTTGCCAAGCCCCTGGACACTCTGTGGCTGCATGGTGACTGCGTTTCTTCTCTCTCTGTGATAGGTCTGTCCAGGACTTTCATCCTCTGAAGAAAGAAGGAAAATGGAAGCTCTGTGAGCCACTTGAAGGAGCAATCCAAGAACAGTCATCAATTAGGTCTCCCTCTCCATCCCTCCTCCCCAAAAGAAGCCCTATTTCTCATTCTTGGCAACTTTGAAAGCTACACCATGATGACATATTCCGCAGACAACACTGCTTATGAATGAGGGTCCAAAATACAAATCGAAGGCCTAAGGGGAGCAGGAAATGAGCCTATTAAGTTGAGATGGAGGGGGTCAGCAAATTATCATCACCAGCTTACAAGTGAATCTGCCAGGGAGGCTTTTCATTAGGGACTTGCCAATATCCCTGCGGGTTCCAAGTGGAGCTGCAAGTTTTGCCAGCCTGAGGCCACGGGTGTCCAGCTTCCCCCTGCCTGTTCCTCAGCTGGGCTGCTCAGGTATCAGGCAGCTGGGACACCCACTGCGCCTCTGGGTGATCGGCGGGTCGAAGGACCTAAAGTGATCCAGAAGTTTTCCTGTTTTTGTTTTTTTTTTAAGTCAGATCTGTAACCCACGGGTTTAGTGGAGATAGAAATGGGACACAAGACCCACTAGTTACGAGGGGTAAAGGTAAACCTACAGTACCCTTTGCAAGACACTTCTTTCTGCAGCCCATAGAACAGAGCCAAGAACCAAGAAGCAAATGGGGTAAGACTAATTCCCAGAGCAAGATGGCTCAGTGGGCGAGGGAGGATCAGTGATGCAGACACAAGCGCGGTCTCTGCTGGGGTCCAGACGCTGCTTCACACACTTACGAAACAGCTTGACAAAATTCCACATACATTCAATATTCCAGCTTCCTAATACTTCCGTTCCCTTTGATCTGTAGGAACTTCCCATCTACCCATTAGGGCTCTCTGCAAATGTGATTGGATAACTTTTCTAGAATAGCAGATCAAAGAGCCCATGCATAAAATTAAACCAAATGAGTGATCTGAACCCACAACAAATGGGCCAATTCATCTGTTAGAGTCATACACACATTCTGCATTACATACTCCCAAACAAGCTCTGCATTTCATCAGCAGACTGTGTTCTGGAAGGTAAGTGCTGATGGAGACAAAGCTGTTTGGGCACAGCTCAGACATCTAATCTGAGAATGATGTCCCATTTTTGATCTGAAATATACATATATATGTAAGTAATAATAGCGTTGTACATGCTGGATGGACAGATTTTGAGCACATCTTATCCCAACACAAAAACTGATCTTCAGAGTATTTCATAAAGCAGTTATATCTGGCTGAGAGCCCCTAAAAAAAACAGGAAAAGTATGCTTTAGCAGTTTCATGGCTGTTTGTACAAATTCAGAAGCAAGGATAGCTATAAACACGGGCAAGCATGAAAATATAAACTATAGTCACGACTACATTTTGTGATACTAATAACTTGAACTACCCAAAGCCAGGAGCAATTTTAATCATTCTGCTTGTGTCTGGGATTGGAAGAAATAAGCAATGTTTTGTTTTGTTCTCTTTTTCAGTCTAGCAAATGACTTGCAAAACAGAATAGACAATGAGGTATGCTTTGGTCTTCACAGTGAATTTGCTGACTACTGCTGGATAGCTACGAAACATTATTTAGCATTGTTTTGTGCAGATCTTCACCACCAAATCTTGTAATTATGGGATAAATGATGAGTTTAATCTATCAAGTAACTACTAAAAAGGAAAAAAAATGGGTGTAATCCCACATTTTCACACATCGATCTTTACAAGAGCAATTCAAACCATGCTTTTGCTAATTTAAAAACAAAGTACCAAAAAAAAAAAAAAAACCCTACATTTTTATTTTCCCTTCTGACTAATACTTTTAGGCACCACTCCACCCTCGTACTTCATTAGCAATAAAGTTGCAGGCTATAGAATAAGGGTTTGCAGTTATGTAAAAGCAAAAGGGTGTCAAAAACATTAAAACTCTTAGTCTGTTTTATAAAAATTCCCATAACCTACCAATGGCCAAAGTCATATTTTCCACTAATTTGCGCCTGTATAAAATCTTTATTTCCAATTTCAACCTGAAGTGAACTTGTAGCACTTAGGTGCAAATTCTGTAGAATGGACCTTCGTCTGGAGAGCCAGAGAGTCCTCACCAAGAGCCACTGCGACACATAATTAGCATTCTCTGGTTAAGATGAATAACCAAGCTCCACTAATCTGTTCTGAGTTGAAAACAGGATTCCCTTGACCTAATCTTCCTAGAAGAAATTAACTTTTCTTCTCTTAAACCTACATCCCTATAATAGAGTGAGTTTCTTAGAAGCCAAGCCTTTATGATGAGCAGTTGAATCCAACTTCACAAATAATTGAATAATTGGCATGGTCTAACCAGAGTCCTCCCAGGTTCCCCCAGCCTCCTGGGAGAAGGAAGTAATTGGTGGGGCGGGATGGGTGGGTGGCGGGGGGAGTGGAAATGGGGTGTCTTTTCAGCTAAGTGATTTTTTTCACAAGTACTAAACTTTAATTATTTTCTTACTGAGAGCTAAACTAACGTGTGTGAATATGAAAGTTATAACGAGAAATAAGCAAAGCTTAAACCCTTAATACGAGAAAAAATTATAACTAATTGCCTTAGTGAACGGCAGGCACGAAATTTTTGAGCATGGCAACTTTCATCAGACTGACTTTTACAACAGTTGACGCTAACACACTCTCACCTACCCTCCCCTCCCCTCCAAAAAATTCCAGTAGACAAATATTTCATGAAGTTTACCTTGTGTACTGTTGCTCCTGACGGGCACTCAGATCAAAACTTGACAGCGCACACGCTCCAGGATACAGACAGCTCTGAGGCTGGGGAGCACGCTCTCCACAGTGCAAGGGAAACTTTCCAAGCAATATTCCTGCCTGCTCTTATAAATTTAGCAACCTCTTCAGTCAGCCAAAAGACGAAAGCTGTCTGATCTTGTTCAGTTGTGCCGAGTTGTTCAATAAAGTTTGAGAGTCAGTGCAGACAGGCAACGGCCAGGCCAAATTATTGACAGAAACATAACTGTCCACCATGGCAACAAGCAGAAGTCGGCTGCAAAAATGTAAGCAAACAGCCCAGTGCTCCAGGAGCATCTGCCAATGGACTTTAATGGCCAAACACAAGGGGACTGTTCGTGCTTCTCTATGTTCAACAGCTGCTAACTAGGGGCAGGGGCGGGGGGGTCACACGGAAACATGCAATTCACTAAAAAGTTTCGGGGAAAAAATTATTTTAAATACTGTCATCATAATCCCCTTTTTGTACCTCCCTCCTTGTGTAGATCCACATTCTAGTGGAAGTTAACAAAGTCCTGCCCCCAGATGGAGAACTGCCCAGCCATCACATTTTACAAACTGTCCCAGACTTTCCAAACTCGTCCAAAGGCAACCGACGTCGAGTCTTCGTGCTATGACCTCTGAAAGCTCAAAAGTCGCTTCGCTGCGCACACAGCTTAGACCGTTCACAGTAAAGGCTTGAAGAAAGTGTGCTGCGTGAAGCAGGACTCGAACACACACTCCTGGGCACGTCCTCACAAACTCCTCAGATAAAAGTTTCAGACAGTTCTTCCAATATAAAAATAAAACCCTGCACTGCATCACCGACTAGGAACACCCCCTGTCGCCCTAGCAAAATAAGCTGATTAGGAGCTCACGGTGCATGCACGTGGCTGCCTTTTTTTTTTTTTTTTAAATTAACATCGACTTTTAAACTGCTCCCTTAAATCCCGTTTTAACACCATCACTCCTCTCTTCCCCCAAGACAAGAAAAGACACAGAGTATAAGACAACAGGCAATACTTACAACTCGGACCCCAGGCTCTGGTTAGCTACTTTCTGCAAACTTCTCTTGGTGGGCTTTCTCTAGTGTGCAGACCCTCTAGGAACATTCTCAGTGTCTCCCTGCCTCCCACTTTCCCTCTCCCTCTCCCAGACAGTGCTGCTCCCATTAGATGAATTAAAAGTGGTTGGAGCCATGCTAAATTTAACAAGCTCATTAGTATTCTTTCTGAGTGCTTCCGAGTGAACTCTCTCTATTCAAGCCCCTCTCTCCAGCAAAAGGGTCAGGCGGCTAATCATTAAATCAAACTAATGTCACCCTATCACAATCAGCCCGAGAGAAGGAGGGTTTATTATTTCAGTTTATGCTAAATAAACGGTTTTACAAATGGTCCCCAAGCAAGGTCAACAGCAGCTTCAATTACAAGACAAACTTAACAAGAGTTGCTATAAACCAAGTACTCTGTATTGACTTAAGAACAGGCTCAACTCCACGTATTACCACTAGCAGGGTTGTACAGGAATGCATATTGTAAAATAAAGGATGGGGGTGGCTTCTTTCTTTGCCAGAATTTGCGACTGCACAACGACTCCTCATTCACCTGTCTCCAACCAGCTAGCCGCTCAGCTCAATTCACCCCACACAAAGGCTAGAGCCCAGACCTCAATGGACCGAGTGAAACATGTTCAAAACTAGGCTCTCTATTGTGACTGAATTTCTTAACATCTTTTCAAAAAGCGGAGAATGCCTTGAGGCTAAAGGAAGAAACAGGCTAATGGTGAATTGGGAATTCTGAGCAAATTTCAGAGCCCTTTCCTCCTAGCTTTTGAGGTTGAAAGCAAGCTCTTTCCTTTCAAGTTTCAAAGTCCTTTTTCCTCCCGCAGTGTCACAGAAGGATTTGAAAAGAAGGTAATTGTGCTCGCAGTCTCCCTGATCAGAGCTTACGTCCTATTTCTGGTATTTCGGAATACTTCTTGCAATAATAGTGCATATAGCTCAATCCCTTAACCGGCCTGCACTCTGCAATTGCTCATTAAATGAACAATTGCGGGTATAAAATGCCTTTTATGTTCAAGGTCTGGATATAAGATAAGCATTCTAGGACTCTAAATTTGGTTTACTAAGGAAACTCTCCATCATTAAATTACAAAACTGAAGTCAGAATATCAGGCTTTCCCAGAAAAGTGGCACTCAGATTTCGGTGAGCCCAAAGGAGAGGCCAATGGGGGTGGGGAGG